ATGACTTGGAGAAGATCTGCAAAGAGGAGTGGAACAAAATCCCTCCTGAGATGTGTGCAAACCTGGTGGCCAACTACAAGAAACGTCTGACCTCTGTGATTGTCAACAAGGGTTTTGCCACCAAGTACTAAGTCATGTTTGCAGAGGGGTCAAATACTTATTTCCCTCATTAAAAAGCAAATCAATTTATAACATTTTTGACATGCGTTAATTTTTTATTTTTGTTGTTGTTATTCTGTCTCTCACTGTTCAAATAAACCTACCATTAAAATTATAGACTGATCATGTCTTTGTCAGTGGGCAAACGTACAAAATCAGCAGGGGATCAAATACTTTTTTCCCCTCACTGTATATAAGGTCTCACAGATGACAGTGCATGTAAGAGCAAAAACCAAGCCATGAGGTTGAAGGAATTGTCCGTAGAGCTCCGAGACAGGATTGTGTCTTGGCACAGATCTGGGGAAGGGTACCAAAAAATGTCTGCAGCATTGAAGGTCCCCAAGAACACAGTGGCCTCCATCATTCTTAAATGGAAGAAGTTTGGAACCACCAAGGCTCTTTCTAGAGCTGGCCGCCCGGCCAAACTGAGCAATCAACGTAGAAGGGCCTTGGTCAGGGAACCAAATGGTCACTTTGATAGAGCTCAAGAGTTTCTCTATGGAGATGGGAGAACCTACCAGAAGGACAAGCATCTCTGCAGCACTCCACCAATCAGCCCATTATGGTAGAGTGGCCAGACGGAAGCCACTCCTCAGTAAAAGGCACATGACAGCCCGCTTGGAGTTTGCCATAAGGCACCTAAAAGACTCTCAGACCATGAGATACAAGATTCTCTGGTCTGATAAAACCAAGATTGAACTCTTTGGCCTGAATGCCAAGCATCACGTTTGGAGGAAACCTAGCACCATCCCTACGGTGAAGCATGGTGCTGGAAGCATCATGCTGTGGGGATGTTTTTCAGCAGCAGGGACTGGAGACTAGTCAGGATCGAGGGAAAGATGAACAGAGCAAAGTACAGAGAGATCCTTGATGAAAACCTGCTCCAGAGCACTCAGGGCCTCAGACTGGGGCAAAGGTTCACCTTCCAACAGGACAATGACCCTAAGCACACAGCCAAGACAACGCAGGAGTGGCTTCGGGACAAGTCTCTGAATGTCCTTGAGTGAAACAGCCAGAGCCTGGCTTTAACCCGATCGAACATCTCTGGAGAGACTTGAAAATAGCTGTGTAGCAACGCTCCCCATCCAACCTGACAGAGCTTAAGAGGATCTGCAGAGAAGAATGGGAGAAACTCCCCAAATACAGCTGTGCCAAGCTTGTAGCGTCATACCCAAGAAGACTCGAGGCTGTAATCGCTGCCAAAGGTGCTTCAACAAAGTACTGAGTAAATGGTATGAATACCTGGGGCCCTTGTTAAGGTCAATGGTATCATGAACTTTACCAAGTACCAGGACATTTTAGCCAAAAACCTGGTTGCCTCTGCCAGGAGGCTGGAACTTGGCCGCAAGTGAATCTTCCAGCAAGGCAATAACCACTAGCACACATCCAAATCCCCAAAGAAATGGTTAATTGACCACAAATTCAACATTTTGCAATAGCCATCTCAGTCTCCGGACTTGAACCCTATTGAAAACCTGTGGTTTGAATTGAAAAGGGCAGTCCATAAGCGCAGACGAAGGATATCAACGATCTGGAAAGATTCTGTATGGAGGAATGGTCTAAGATCCCTCCCAATTTGATCTCCAATCTCATAAAACATTTTAGAAAAAAGGCTCAGTGTCATTATCCTTGCAAGGGGAGGGTCCTGGAGTATTGAAAACAGGATATCCAATTATCGTGACTCCCATCTTTTAGAGATTTTTTTGTATTTCTTGTTAAACAAAATCTCTTACTCTGAACAATTGTATTAGTATAAAATAATTTTAAAAAATCGATTTTTGGAGCATACAATATAGCTCAGCATACGGTATTTTTTCCTAATCTTTATTAAGGGATCTAATAATTCCCGACAACACTGTACACCCAATTTATACAGTTAACTATAGAAGGACAAATACATTATGTACATAGAGCTAATAGTAACCTAATGCCTAACTGAGGCCAAATGCCACATACAGTAAGCCTATGTCTCTTCAGAGGATGTGACAATGAAACCAGTGCTTAATTTGAGAACAGGATCTGGCACCTCTCAGTTTTGGACTGTTCCGAAACCTATTTTCCAGGATCCGGTACCTCTCATGGCAAGAAACATAATTTTCACTGTTTGCAATGTAAAAGTTAGAATAAAAGTGATCAGAGTTAATTAGAGTTGTCTCCTCTGTAATTCTCCTGCCCCCCCCCCCCCCAAAAAAAAAAAAAACGTAGCCTAATATCAGGCCGCACCTGATATTCTAAGAATTGATTCGGGTTGGGCCAGCCCGGATTTATGATTTGCGCAACATTGTAGCCTAGAGACCAACTTGTGGCAGTTACTGTGGTGCAAGAGAGAAGCGTGCCTGTATCTCTCACAGAACCAGATTGAGAATCACTTTCTATGATCTCTTTCCTTGACCTTGCAACTACCATCTCTCCAGAGTTGTACTTCATCATTTATTTCCTTATAGAATAATGGGAAGGGTGCTGGTGGGGCTGCAGCACTCCTGAGAAATTGAAATACATTTGCGAAAGTTATAGAATTACTGCAGTCTGTTCAGAAATAAATGAAATATTTCAGAATACTGCACCAGGAGTAGGTCTATAATTTAGCCATTAATTTTTTTTATAATTTTTTTTTATAGCCTAGCTGTGGATTGTGTGTAGCCCAATCACAAGGCATTGCCTACAGTCGGGAAAGCTTGGCAAATATGTCAGTGAACAGCTTGCAGCCAAAACAGGCCTTTCGCAATATTTAAAATATGGTTGTGGGATAGAACAGGTTTCAAAGCAAATGGCTGCTGCTGATACAAAAATACTTATATATATACGAAAATATTTTATCAACTTCCAAATAGGCCTATTGAGCGAACAGCATTGTTTTTATAAAACTAAAACGAGAGAGATAGGCTTTTGGAACTGGAAAGCTTTTTTAGGACTATAATTTCCGACTCATATTGTACAATATTACATTTACATTTTAGTCATTTAGCAGACGCTCTTATCCAGAGCGACTTACAGTTAGTTTTTATTTTTCATACTGCATATGTGTGTCTCCTCCACACACCTAGGCCTAGGCTTTTGATGGATTCAAGACGAGGTCTTGAACCTGGCTATCAGCGGAGCCTGGCTATCAGCGGAGCCTTTTCTGGCAGCAAAACAGCTGATATGGCTGACTTGCTTAAACAAATGTTGTTTCTAATGACAATTGAGATGTACAAACTATGGCATAATGGGAGGACAAGCGTATAAGAGACAGTCCGTAATTTCGATTAAGACATGAATGAACGAGCTAGGACGGATGTGGTCAGTATAACTATTTGTTTAGCACTTTTGAAATGTAGCGCGACAGAATCCAGAACATGGGCCGTTCTTATAGTGTTCTCCCTGTACACTAAGTCAGAACCATAGAATAAATGAAGGGGGCATATAAACACACAATGAAAGCTCTTACAATATTTTATGATTACATTTCTCTAAAACAGGTTCTATGTGCACCACCAAGTCAGAACAGTAGGCGAAATTAAGAGGGGTAAATAGACCAAATTATTAGGGTGAGGCACATGGGCTACTAACATCTTACTACACAACATACACTTAGTATTACTTTCTTAGCTACAGTATACATATCTCCTTGGCAGATTACATCATTTATGCAGCAGCATACAATACATCCAACTTGTTGTGTAATGTTTATGAGCGCTGATATGTTTTATCTATAATTTCTCTTCATTATTTCTCTTCATATGACAAGCTTGTCGACTTGATTCATGATGATGACTGCTAGCTAAGATTTTGAAAGTATGATGTTGACATGATCAGTCCAATCAAAGCTACTGTACATTTTAATGTGATTTGACGTCATTTTATCTGTGGCCAATGACCTTGAGCCTTCTTGGAAGGGCACTTCTAATGTAACTCTATGGCAGGACCCAAAGGGCTTGAATATTCTACCCTTAGACTTGGCGGTGACGTAGTGTCCCCATGAGTGACAGAACACTGAGCCAATCACGGCGCAACGCTCCGTATCTTCTGCTGGCTTGTCCCACCATGCCAGAAATCACTGATGTAGGCTGAAACACCTGCATTTTGGAGCTGCTTTACTCAAGAAAACATAAAAGAGACCATGTTTGTATGCGGCTTTATTAACTGAATTATATATCTTTTTTTACATTGTTTGCAAACTGATATGTGACATGTATTAATGCCAAAATAACATGCAAAACAGGCAAGCCCAAAAATGTGGGCTCTGCCCCACCTGCCCTGAATGACGGGTCGCCACTGGTTTAAACAAATAACACATAGGCTAATGCCTACATTAGTCCTCTATCATGCTGCAATGCACCTCTGACCATGAAATTGAAAGGATGCAATCCAGGCTATATTACGGTTTAAGAGGCTGTAGTGGAAAATCACGTTGTAGTATTTTTTGTGAAATATCCCTGTCGTGCTTTTCAGTGATCTTTGACTTTTTTTATTTTGGAAAGAAAAGAAAAGTCAATTGGTGGAAGATTTTCCCTTGCTCAGAGAATGTATTTCAGACAACATATTCAACTACCAGTCGTAACACTTGTTTCCTGACTTCACATCACATCAGGCCTGTAAATAACTAAGAAGGACTGTGATACTCAAGTCAGTAGTGTCATTCCAGGCGACTACATTGCAGACGTGCAGCAAAAATTAACTAATGATTGAATGTCATTGTCATCTTCAGTGCAGTCTGGCATCAGATCACAATATCATATGGATGTGGTTACTGACATGTTAAACACTTATCCAGGCATTGTGATATTTGGTGTGCGACTGTTTTGCAGACCTCCTGGAATACTGCTATTGTGTTGATATTGAGTCTTTCTCTGTCCACAGTACTCTGTGCTTCCCAGCAAACAGTCCAGTCTGTGACTCAGCAGGTGAAAGGCATCGTGGGACAGTCTCTAACTTTTCCAGAGAGAGTGTTTAAAACTGGCTATTTAAGGTATGGAGAAGACACTAATGCATTTGTGCTCAATGGACAAAGCCAAACAGATCCAGAAGAGAGATTTAAAAATCGCCTTCACTGGGACAATGTGACAGGATTATTCCGTCTGTCAGACGTACAGATAGAGGATGCTGGGGTTTATTCTGTGGAGAATAAAGATGGAGGGAAGAGGACACTTAAATTTAACCTCACTCTTTACTGTAAGTGTGTTTGTGTGTGTGTGTGTGTGTGGTATAATACAAAAACATTAAATATAAGTTCCATTCCTCCAATTTATTTACTTTTTGTCTTCCAGCTGTTGTTTCCAAACCTCAGGTGACAGAGTGTGACAACAGCTCCTGTAGTGTGGTGTGTTCTGTGGACAACGAAAAAGAGGTGACTTTGACCTTGTACCTGGGAGAGGAAAAACTCAACCAGACCAGCAGTCGTGATCTTACCACCAACCTCCGTTTGGAGGTAGAGGGAAAGGACTACAACTCTGCCTACAGCTGTGTGGCTGCCAACCCTGTCAGCAACAAGACAGCGCTTGTCCCAAAATGTTGCAGTGAAGATGGTCATCACAAGGAGACAGGTAAGAGTATCAATTCTGAATTAAAGCCATCAAGAAAATAGCAACTACCAAAATAATTAAGTGAAACTATTAGTTGAGTCCATTTAAAACATACTGCCAAAGCCTTGCGATATTTTACACTAATCATTTCCTTGTGTTTTATTTATTTCAGACAGTGATGAGATGACTCGGGGTATGCTTATTATTGCTGTAATCTGCGTTTTGGTTGTCTTGGGGCTGGTTGGACTTGCTATCTATCTAAAGAAGAGGGGAAATGAACACTCACAAGGCAGGTATTTATCTTTTAGAGGTGTAAGTTCAGTCAAAACATGTCATAATCAGCTTTTTTTTTAATCAAGGATTTTGGAAAAGGTAGGAACTGTTTGCTTGAAAACAGGATGCAGGTCAAATAAAGTGGCACACTTCCTCTGCTTGGTCAGACAGTGTTATTATCTCAGAGCTGTCTGATACACTTCTCTAAATGTTGAAAAAGCAGAAAGCACACACACAAACACACTCTGACATTACTGTATAGATTGGCTTCCATGGCGCCAAAAAGAACGCTAGCAGAGAGACAGGTACCCATGCTAACAGTCCTGAGTGTTTGCGGAACCTGTCCTGGGGGGTGAGCATCTGTCTGTCTCTGTCAGTTAGTCACACCCTCGCCTTGTATTTACTTTCCTTTATTTGTCTTCATAGATTCATCCGAAAGAGTGCAAGTTGACATTGAGTATGCAACGATTACTTACAAAGAACAAACTGATAACCAGGTTAGTAAAAATGCTACAGGCTGATAGACAATACACCAGCTTTTGCAGCCCTCATGGCTACAACTGTAAGCTTTAGCACTATGCAAGGATCTTATATCTGTAGGTCTGACAGACTGAATAATCCTGTCACATTGCCCCAGTGAAGGCGATTTTTTTCAAACTTGAGTTGCACAGACCACCTGAGTTTGATACCCGGCCTGATGTCATTGCAACCAGTTTTGCCCATATGATATGGTTGGGTTGCACAATGAGAAGCCACACAGCACATATGGTATATAGTAAGGCCTTTGATCTTCACATTGTCTTTTAGAGCATTTGCAAAGTCTGTGGATATTTGAAGTTAGGCTTCATGATTCCTCCTACTAGCTTTAGGAATGATCCTAAGTGTGACTGTTGAGTTACCGACTGCGGAACAATGATAGTAGACAAGAGGGCATCAGGCGTGTTCTGTTTCCTTCCCAAATGATTTAATAAATAATATTTTTTCGTATTCCTTTTGTTGCTTTCCAACCCCTTTTCTCTCCCCTCTCTCTGCCCCCTTTTCCCTGTCCCTCTCCGTCCCTTCCCTCCCCTACCTCCCTCCTCTCCCTGCCTAGGAGGAGCGAACAGGTATACCAGAACTGGAGTCGTGTAGAGACAACCCTGAACTGACATCAGTTTATGATACACTCCTGTTATATCGCATGGCTGCCAGCGGGGATGTTGATACAGCATGAAGGAGCAAAATGGGAAGTCACTGAGTAGCCGACATGACAACACACATCCTGGAGAGGATGGTATATCATAAAGAGGACGTTGAAACAAAATGAAAGTAAAACAATATTCACCCAGAAAACCTTTTAGAGGCACAGTTGTTATGAGAGAACATTTCCCTGGAACTGTTGCGCTGATGTTATAATTTCAGGCTTTCTTTGTAGGTCATTCTCACAGACCTTCTGTCAAATAGAGGCCTCGATGACATCAATGATACGGACCAATTCAATAGTTATGCATTGAGTTAGTAGCAGGATCAGGATAATCCTTATTTTTAAATGACTTTTGTCCCAAATCCCAATTTATAGGTTACAACAAATTGAACCCATATTTTAATATAATTCACTAGTGTGTTTGCTATGCTACTGCTGGGCCAACGATTCTTATAATGTCTGTTCTGTTTAAATGTAGGTGCCTCCCCTGTATCTTTTTATAGCTGGTCATTGTTTAGCTAGCCAGTGGATAGCAGCAGTGTACATTTTATAAAAAGAGCAGGCCTTTGAGATAAAGGTTTGCAAACTCCTGCAAACACCGACAAACTCCTGCAGGCACGGCAGACTCCATCTATCAGAGCATTTTGTGTTCCACCTACATTAGTCCAGCCTTTGTATCTGTGCCAACACAGATTACTGTGACCCGAAAATAGCTAATTTGTTGATACCATAGTTGTTGCATTGTAGGCTATTTCATTTTTATGGATCTCTATTTCAGAGTAGTTACTGAGACTAAATATGAAGATATAATTCACTTTTCACTATTTAAAAATAACCTCATGACTTATTCAAACTGATAAAGAAAAACATGTTGTACTGAGCTTCAATATATTAAGTCAAAGACTTACCCATACGTTTAATTTAAAGGTAACAATTTGTATATTTCCTGAAGTTTAATAGTCATCATTACCCTAGTCATCAATGCTTGAAATATATAATTTATTTACATACCCTATCGCAACCCAAAATATGATGTTAGATCACTCCATTCTCCATTTATATTTTGGTTGTCCATTTAAATCTTTGTAAACAGAGAATGTATTGCTTCAGAATACCTGTGTGAACTGTCATTCTTTGAAGCCATAGCTGCCTCTATGAGTTAGAGAGTGGAATTTATCCAGAGACATTTCTCCAGAAACACAACTCCATATTTTGGTTTTAATGTAGGCTACGTCTAGGGTGAAATATGAGGGACTACTGTAATTGTTTGGTGGATTCTCTATTTATTGAGCTTAAGCATATATCCTGTCACTTTGCATGCCATTTTATACAAATTCAAGCATTCTTTTGAGAAAATGTTGGCCTTTTCTTCCAATCCTTTCCCCCATCTAGTGGTTGAATGTTTATATATTTCAGTATACTGTATACTGTACATACTGCAACATGTTTTGCTCTGAGACAGTGGACTGTACTGTAAACTGTAAGTGTTTTGCTCTGAGACAGTGTACTGTAAATTGTACTGTAAATTGTGTAAGTGTACCTTAAATCATGTGCAACCAAAATGTTCTCAAAACTTTCTATGCGTTTATGTTTGGACTGTGGTCACGCATTTTTGTGCCAATGTGCCATTATTGTGACATTATTGTGAGTAACAATTAAAACATTTGAAATATGCCATGTCGATGATATTGTTATTGTTTAAATCCCACAAGGTAGCAAACCATGAGAGCCTCATTCATCATTATGTGTATTTACAGTGGGGGAAAAAAGTATTTAGTCAGCCACCAATTGTGCAAGTTCTCCCACTTAAAACGATGAGAGAGCCCTGTAATTTTCATCATAGGTACACGTCAACTATGACAGACAAATTGAGAAAAAAAAATCCAGAAAATCACATTGTAGGATTTTTAATGAATTTATTTGCAAATTATGGTGGAAAATAAGTATTTGGTCACCTACAAACAAGCAAGATTTCTGGCTCTCACAGACCTGTAACTTCTTCTTTAAGAGGCTCCTCTGTCCTCCACTTGTTACCTGTATTAATGGCACCTGTTTGAACTTGTTATCAGTATAAAAGACACCTGTCCACAACCTCAAGAGCTGTCAGAGGACACCAGAAACAAAATTGTAGACCTGCACCAGGCTGGGAAGACTGAATCTGCAATAGGTAAGCAGCTTGGTTTGAAGAAATCAATTGTGGGAGCAATGAGACAAAATGAGGAAAAAATTCCAGAAAATCACATTGTAGGATTTTTTATGAATTTATTTGCAAATTATGGTGGAAAATAAGTATTTGGTCAATAACAAAAGTTTCTCAATACTTTGTTATATACCCTTTGTTGGCAATGACACAGGTCAAACGTTTTCTGTAAGTCTTCACAAGGTTTTCACACACTGTTGCTGGTATTTTGGCCCATTCCTCCATGCAGATCTCCTCTAGAGCAGTGATGTTTTGGGGCTGTCGCTGGGCAACACGGACTTTCAACTCCCTCCAAAGATTTTCTATGGGGTTGAGATCTGGAGACTGGCTAGGCCACTCCAGGACCTTGAAATGCTTCTTACGAAGCCACTCCTTCGTTGCCCGGGCGGTGTGTTTGGGATCATTGTCATGCTGAAAGACCCAGCCACGTTTCATCTTCAATGCCCTTGCTGATGGAAGGAGGTTTTCACTCAAAATCTCACGATACATGGCCCCATTCATTCTTTCCTTTACACGGATCAGTCGTCCTGGTCCCTTTGCAGAAAAACCGCCCCAAAGCATGATGTTTCCACCCCCATGCTTCACAGTAGGTATGGTGTTCTTTGGATACAACTCAGCATTCTTTGTCCTCCAAACACGATGAGTTGAGTTTTTACTAAAAAGTTAAATTTTGGTTTCATCTGACCATATGACATTCTCCCAATCCTCTTCTGGATCATCCAAATGAACTCTGGCAAACTTCAGACGGGCCTGGACATGTACTGGCTTAAGCAGGGGGACACGTCTGGCACTGCAGGATTTGAGTCCCTGGCGGCGTAGTGTGTTACTGATGGTAGGCTTTGTTACTTTGGTCCCAGCTCTCTGCAGGTCATTCACTAGGTCCCCCCGTGTGGTTCTGGGATTTTTGCTCACCGTTCTTGTGATCATTTTGACCCCACGGGGTGAGATCTTGCGTGGAGCCCCAGATCAAGGGAGATTATCAGTGGTCTTGTATGTCTTCCATTTCCTAATAATTGCTCCCACAGTTGATTTCTTCAAACCAAGCTGCTTACCTATTGCAGATTCAGTCTTCCCAGCCTGGTGCAGGTCTACAATTTTGTTTCTGGTGTCCTTTGACAGCTCTTTGGTCTTGGCCATAGTGGAGTTTGGAGTGTGACGGTTTGAGGTTGTGGACAGGTGTCTTTTATACTGATAACAAGTTCAAACAGGTGCCATTAATACAGGTAACAAGTGGAGGACAGAGGAGCCTCTTAAAGAAGAAGTTACAGGTCTGTGAGAGCCAGAAATCTTGCTTGTTTGTAGGTGACCAAATACTTATTTTCCACCATAATTTGCAAATAAATTCATTAAAAATCGTACAATGTGATTTTCTGGATTTTTTTTTCTCAATTTGTCTGTCATAGTTGACGTGTACCTATGATGAAAATTACAGGCCTCTCTCATCTTTTTAAGTGGGAGAACTTGCACAATTGGTGGCTGACTAAATACTTTTTTTCCCCACTATGTTATTTTTTGTTCATTTTAATATTGTTACATTGATGTGTTATTGATTTTGTATTATAGATATGTTGTGGTAGAGTGTAATAATATGTTGTGTTCTGTACTGTTATATTTTGTATGTAATTGCGCAATCGTGATTGGACCCCAGGAAGTGTAGCTAATCGGGATCCGGAATAAATACAAATGTTATGTAGTTTTCCACAAAGTTCAGGTTGCGCAATGTCCAACATTTTGTTACAGGAAATGAGTAACATTACTGTATAAAAAACACATTATCTTTACACTCTTTCAGTCTGTAGCAGCATGGACAAAGTGGTGAGTACCTTTACACTTTCAATTGGATTCCTGATCTATATTTAGCATAGCTGCACAAAGTGACGTTTTCATCTAAATCATGAAAGTTGCGTATGGAAGCAATCTTTCCCAGTTGAAAGCAGTTAATCCCCAAACCTGAATTCAAGCAATAATAACTGGATTATAGCTCCCGTCCAAATGTTGTGAATGATATATATTCATGTCATAGTAAAATAAAAAATATATTATACAGTGAGGGAAAAAAGTATTTGATCCCCTGCTGATTTTGTACGTTTGCCCACTGACAAAGAAATTATCAGTCTATAATTTTAATGGTATGTTTATTTGAACAGTGAGAGACAGAATAACAACAAAAAAATCCAGAAAAACGCATGTCAAAAATGTTATAAATTGATTTGCATTTTAATGAGGGAAATAAGTATTTGACCCCTCTGCAAAACATGACTTAGTACTTGGTGGCAAAACCCTTTTTGGCAATCACAGAGGTCAGACGTTTCTTGTAGTTGGCCACCAGGTTTGCACACATCTCAGGAGGGATTTTGTCCCACTCCTCTTTGCAGATCTTCTCCAAGTCATGAAGGTTTCGAGGCTGACGTTTGGCAACTCGAACCTTCAGCTCTCTCCACAGATTTTATATGGGATTAAGGTCTGGAGACTGGCTAGGCCACTCCAGGACCTTAATGTGCTTCTTCTTGAGCCACTCCTTTGTTGCCTTGGCCGTGTGTTTTGGATCATTGTCATGCTGGAATACCCATCCACGACCCATTTTCAATGCCCTGGCTGAGGGAAGGAGGTTCTCACCCAAGATTTGATGGTACATGGCCCCGTCCATCGTCCCTTTGATGCGGTGAAGTTGTCCTGTCCCCTTAGCAGAAAAACACCCCCAAAGCATAATGTTTCCACCTCCATTGTTGATGGTGTTCTTGGGGTCATAGGCAGCATTCCTCCTCCTCCAAACACGGCGAGTTGAATTGATGCCAAAGAGCTCCATTTTGGTCTCATCTGACCACAA